CATTCCAGAGTTTCAGCATGGTCAGTACCATCTGATCGTGGGACTGGGCAGGCTCATCCCTCTTGCAAGAGCACCCTCTTCCGAGACCTTCAGTCAGACAGGCTAAACTCAGCTTTGGGAGCTTTCACAACTTGAGACAACTGTATTGATTTTCTGGGATCCCTATCCCTATCCCTAAAGGTGAGTTCTTGAACAAATACACAAATTAGAGTACACAAAAGGGAAGGTGGAAAAAAAGAAAGCATAAAAAAGTTAAGAGCAAAGTAGATCAAAGATCTTCTCAAAATGATCTGACTTCTTTTTAAAGCATTAAAATGACATACCTAAATTACAAGCATTATACACAAAGATGTTCACTGGCATTATTTACAACAGGAGAACTCTGGAAACAATCTAAAGATCCAGTTATAAGTAACTATAGCACATAAATATGATGTAGTAACTCACTGCAAATGAAATGACTTTTACAAAGCTATATTAATAATTTTAGGAAAACCTTAATGATTAATTTGGGGGGAGGAGCAAAGATAATGCACACATATAGCAGGAGTTTGGGGAAAAAGTTTATATATTTTATTTACACACACACACACAAAAGAAGACTACAAAGAAATAAATATACCAAAACATTAACAGTAGTTATCACTGAGTGATTTTTCTCTTTATAATTTTTAAAAAAATTTTAAATTTTATACATACTAAGACTAATCAGAAAACAAATACTAAAAATTCAAAGATGAATTAAAAAAACACACACCAGGATAATCTGTCAATATGTACTCAAAAAACTTGAGCAAATTTTTAGTATTCTTTTAATTTACAATGAGAACATAACATACAGTATAAGAAAAACTGTAAGAATGAGACTCCCACAGAAGTTTATAGAACAAAATGTATACTAAATCCTCCAATTAAAGACCCGTAAAGTAGTTTCAGTGCTTTCTAACCCACCTTCTCACAGCAGGGAATTAATCCCTCTTGGGGATGCAAACAAACTTCAAAGGGAAGATTATGCCCAGACACTAGTACTGTGTGGCGTAAGGTTTTTACCTAAGTTTGCTCAGATACTTGGGCAGAGATCAGAGATGCAGAGCCAAGGAACAAAGACCAATCTTAAGGCAGATTCTTTGCAATCATTTAAAATGGAAAAACAATGCCTTAAATCACATCAGAAAAAGGCAAATATAATAAGTTTTATTAAAAACAAATGAGAAGGTTGTAGAAGTAGATAAAAGGTACCTAAAATCAAATAAGTGACAGCTTATTCACTGGTACTAGCAGCTAGGGAATCTTACAAATTCCCAAAGAAATTAAGCAGCACCATGAGTTCAGTTTGTGTACCCAAATCTTATTTGTATGATGTTTGCAAGGTGTCCCATTCAGTGTCATAGGCCTTGATGCAATGTCTAAGTACAACTGATAGATCACATGTCCCTTCCATGGATGTCATGGAATGCTCTTCAGAGCACAGGATACATGCGAGTTTACAAAATGTGTCTTCAGGAATTCAGGATTATTAAATGTAATCAATGGGAGAAAGAACTGTCCTTAAAGTCCAGTAATATTTCTTACCAGCCTTTCTCAGATCTGTCATCTTTTTTTTTAAAGCCCCCCGGTACATAGTTGTATATTCTCTGTTGTGGGTCCTTCTAGTTGTGGCATGTGGGACGCCGCCTCAGCGTGGCTCAATGAGCAGTGCCATGTCCGCGCCCAGGATTCAAACCGACGAAACACTGGGCCACGCGCAGCAGAGCGTGAGAACTTAACCACTCGGCCACGGGGCCGGCCCCCTGATCTGTCATCTTTTTATTGTGAGGTAATTTTTTAGGTATGATTTAGAAGCAGCTAATCTTTTTATAAAAATATAAGTAGAGGAGCAGCATATCTTAATAATTTGGCTTTATTTAGTTTCCCAATTTTTAAAAATCATGGATTAAGGAATCAAATTTGGAGTTTAACTTTTCTGGATACTTTCTGGATATAATCTAACAGAAAACTAAAATCCTTGATAGATTAAAGACCTAAATGTGAAAGGCAAAAACTATACATTTCTTAGAAGAAAACATAGCAAAATATCTTTATATCTGTAGAGGAGGAAAATATTGATAAATTGTACTAAATTAAAATCAAGAAGTTTTGATTAATGATACCATAAAGAGAGCGAAAGACAAACCATAAGGGGGAAGAGACTTAAAGAGGCTCTGAAAACAAGCTCAGGGCCATTTGGGCAAGAAATCCGGAGATCCTAGGTACTCAAAGCATGGTCTGAGATGGAAAGGTTCAGGCCTCAAGTGGGCATGTCCCAGCGGCCCCACAGACTCCTTTCCCCAGGGAAGAGGGCCAAAGCAGGGTCCTCTAAAGCATAAGGCCAGGGCAGGGATCCCTTTTGCCAGGACCGTTATTTCCTTAGAAGCAGGCAACATTATATTTCTTAACCTGGATAGCAGTAACATGAGCTACACACTTTATAATTATTTGTTAAACTGCACATATAGATTTTATGTACTTTTTCCACAAACAATGGGACAGACATTGTGTGCCTGCTGATATGATACACAATATCACATTTGAGATACTCCTGTGAAAATCCATAACCTGAATCTAATCATGAGCATAGAATCAGATCAAAATCCAAGGAATTTCTACAAAACAGACCTGAATTCTTCAAAAATATGTCACAAAACATAAAGAAATATCAATGTTAAATTTTCTTATTGCAATAATTGTACTAGAGTTATGTAAGAAAACGTCCTTATCCTTAGGAGATATATTCTGAAATATTTAGGAGTGGAGGATCACAATGTCTGCAACTTATTCTCAAACGGTTCAGCGAAAAATAATATGAATATAAATACAGTAAAAAAGCTAATATGGTAAAATAGTAACAATTGATGAATCTAAGAAAAGGGCATATGCACTTGCCTATTCTTTTTTTTTTTTTTTTGAGGAAGATTAGCCTGAGCTAACTACTGCCAGTCCTCCTCTTTTTGCTGAGGAAGACTGGCCCTGAGCTAACATCCATGCCCATCTTCCTCTACTTTATACATGGGACGCCTACCACAGCATGGCCATGTCCACACCCGGGATCCGAACCAGCGAACCCTGGGCTGCCGAGAAGTGGAACGTGCGAACTCAACCGCTGCATCACCGGGCTGGCCCACACTTGCCTATTCTTGTAGCTTTTACCTTTTAAAATATTTTCAAAATAAGTTTAAAAATATATGGTAAAGGGTTAAGAAAAGAATTGTCTACAGGGAGAGGAATTAGATGACTGGGATAAGAGAGTAAGATAAAGACTTTTCATTTTGTTCATTCTTCTGTTTTATTTGTACTTTTCAAATTTTGTTCATATTCCTCAAAAAATTCATTTTAATTTTGGGCGAAAAAATCTTAGGACATTGAAATGGGAAACATTAGCAATGGTAGAAATAAGAAAAATTTTTGTCCTTAAATTTATCTGTCAAATCATGGCCATCACCAAATGGTTCATCTGTAAAGTCACCCCATAGACATGCTGCTGCGTGTACACACCTGGGAACAGATATCTGCCCAATCCAATGGTTTGCACAATTAGAGGCATAACTTGACAGGGATGTTAACATTCTACTTCTAGAACAACCATAAATTTGTAACATGTTTCACAGCCTTCATTAGACAATCCAGAAAGTGGAACACATTCAATTATCTCACTTTTGCTATTAAGAGAAATTCATTCATTTTAACAAATATTAGTAACAATGTGCAAAGCCCTGCAGATGACATGGAAAGATGTGTACAACACGATCACTGTCCTCAAGAAGGAAAGTGAAGCACAGTGAAGAAGACTTGAATCAAAAATCCTGGCTATCCAGACAGAGAAAGACGAACTCTGTATGACTCCACTCATAGGTGGTAGTTAACATATAGACAAGGAGAACTGATCGGTGGTTACCAGGGGAAAGGGGGGGTGGGGGGAGGGCACTAGGGGTGAAGTGGTGTACCTACAACATGACTAATAATGATGTACAACTGTAATTTCACAAGGTTGTTAACTATCATAATCTTAATAAAAAAAAAAAAAATTCCTGGCTATTCCACACTGTAGCTATGTGATCTTGGTAAATTATTTGACGTCTCTGAGATTCTATTTTCTCATAGGTATAATGAAGATGTCACCCAACTATCTTTAAGGGTTGTACTGGACACACATGTAGGACAAAAGAACAACAGATACTCAATAAAAGGTGGCTGCTTTTATGAGTATTACAATCTAATTAAAATAATGAAATAGAAAATATGCCCAAGGTTGTATAGCCAATTAAGGGAAGAACCCAGTGGAATCCTGATTACTCCAAATTTCTATCCAAGTAAATTCACTGTCCCCAAACACCAAATAATATGCACAACTGTCTGTATGTGTAGACCAAGAGTTGCTCCCTAACAACTCTGGCAAATATATCAATCTCTTAGGCACCAAGAAAAAGAACATTAGGTCATAAGGTTATTTTTTCTCATTAACCAAGAAGGATTTTAGGTCAAGAAGTGAAATACTCAGCCTGTGCAAGATGCTCTAACCTTATCTAAGACCCTGCTGTCCAGGAATACATGTCCAAATTAGTCCAAAAGCTAAAGCAAGAGGAGGTGTTTCCTTCAACTAATTTCCAACCTTCTTTTACCAGGAGACATAAAATTTACTAAATTAGTCCATTTCAAACCTCTCCTTCCAGTTTAACAGCAGAGATTTCCCTTTTTTCACACTAAATAGTTGACTTCCAGACGTCTGTGAAAGATACAAACCAAGACCTAAAGAATACAATGAACAAAGCCATACTTCAAGCCTATCATGGCAGTAATTCTTAAATTGTTCTCTGTGTTTATTCTCCATTCTCTAGGATGATGTGGGCACAAGTAAAAGGTAACATCTTAAAGATAAATAACAGTTTAGAATATTCATATATTATTCCATGTGCATGGCTATCTTTACAATAAACAAACACACCATATTATAAACATGCAAATACCTGAAAGAGTGCCACCTGTCCTAGGATAGGCCACTTCAACATACACTTCAAACGTGGTCTCTGGATTTTGCCTACAAAAGAAACAGATCATGATTACTGACGAGGACTGAGGCAGCATGGCATAGAACATGCGGGCTGCGGTATAAGGCTGACCTTGATTAAAATCATTATCTCAACTTCTCTGAGCCACATCTTCCTAACCTATAAAATGAAAACACCTAACCAGAAGAACTATGGTGAAATTTAAACACACAAAAATTGTCTAGGTACAACACCAGACACATAATAGGCTAGACATATAATTTTACAGATGTCATATTCCCAATTTACACAGCTGGATCTCTAAAGCCAAAGGTAGAGTCCTAAGGAAACTCAAACCAAGGCAACACTAGCACAAAGTAGCCTTCTCCTTCATATTCCAGGATAAAACACTCACATGATGAAGTTAACTTGTTTACCTACAGGTTTTAAAGACTGAAACAAGAGAAACAGGATCCTATCTCACTAGGCTATTATGAAGACAGAATGCTAATCTAAATGTAAGATACAGGTCTCGAACAGGGGCTTCATCTGCATTGGCAATGGCAGGTATATGAATGTCCATTATATCCTTTTACTTTTTTTTTTTCCTAAAGATTGGCACCTGAGCTAACAACTGTTGCCAATCTTTTTTCTCCCCCTACTTTTTCTCCCCAAATCCTCCCAGTACATAGTTGTACATTCTAGTTGTGGTATATGGGATGCCGCCTCAGCGTGGCCTGATGAGTGGTGCCATGTCCACGCCCAGGATCTGAACCAGCAAAACCCTGGGTCACCAAAGCGGAGCGTGCAAACGTAACCACTTGGCCACAGGACCAGCCCCTCCTTTTACCTTTTTATGTCATAAATATTTCATGACAAGTTTTAAAAAGATCACAGCGCTAACAGAATGTTAACAGTTGTTAATTCTGAGTGATGAGAACATCAGAGTTTTATTATCTTTGTATTTTCTCTTTGATTCTAAAACTATAATAAAGATATTATTTCTAGATTGAATAAAAATTATTTAGCAGAAGAAAATGTTATACTTTCAAATGTCTATAATTGAATTCTATTTTAAGCCTACTAACAAAGCTCAGAGAAGGAACTTTCTAGTTACCTAATCAGATCTGAGTTAATTTCAATCAAATAAACACCTTGAATTTGCCCAGCAGATTCTACTTTTCAAAATAACTTTCTCATTTAACTCATTTCATCCTCATTATAATCCCATAGGTGAGTGGGTCAGGCATTACCCTCACCTTATAGGTGAGGAACCCAAGAAAAAGAAATTCTAAGTAACTTGTCAGTGGTGCCACAGCTAGTTAGAAACATAGCCAGAACCAAGGTTCACACCTCTTGGTGCTCCAATTCTGTGTTTCATTGATTCTAAGATGAACGTTTTTCCCCACATTTTCACATCTCTTACAACCTACTGCATCTTACAATTCTAAATGGCAACATTTTTCTCTTTCTTACTAATACGTGTTCTAACAGTGAATCTTATAAATAATGGCATCTTAGATTCAATAAAATATGGTAATACTCCCTCTACTTCCTTAGGAGTAGAAAGAAAAATGTGTTTTGTCAATTAGGAATCTACTTATTTCTCTTGTGAAGGATCACCATTTCTTCACTGAGAGAAACTTGGGCTTTTGCTTTAAGTAAGCACCTACAGTGAAAAGAGCTAGCTGCTCTAAAATTCAAGGTATTTAAATACACCTTGTCAAATATAATTTAAAAATCAGACATGAAATCAGAGTATCTTATTAGAAAACTAAATAAAGTAAAGAAGTTTTGAGAGAGCCAAAAAATTTTTTCTGTTCTGTTTTCCCTGCAAGAGGGTACAAAAAGACCTTCAAGGTCAGCATTCTTTGGTCACCAAACACTTGTGGAAAATACCATATGGAAACATCCCTTTCTTTCAAATGATCTCAAAGGAGAGGGTTTGATGAAAGAAAGGAATGTTCTAAGGTCATCTGAAGAGCACCAGAAAGATTTCCTCTAAAACCTAACTTTATCTTTCTTAAGCCTATTTTGCAACTGGCTGAATTTCGTCTCAGAATTTCATTCCTCTGGATTAAAATAATGGCTTTCAAAATGTATTCTATGGGACCGCAGGACTCCTTGGAGGTTCTTCAGAGCTTCCATACATTTTTTACCCAAATTTCCACTTTTAACTTTATTTTTCCCATTTAAAAAATTGAAATAACATACATGAACATGCAAAGGTGTTACCTACCAAATCTTTAAATACTGGAGCTCCAACACTAACCGGTGCCACTAGGTTAAGGTGTTTTGTACAGATCTGCTATCTAAGTGAAGAATGTTCTAATGTCTGTACTCATTGTGTCTCTGCTTCTCCTCCTTTCTCTCTTTAACACACTTTAACTAGGTTTCTGAACCCATTATACCTCTGAAACAACTTGTCATGACCACCAATAACCTCCGCATTACTAAAATGTGCTAACATGGTCAATTCTCAGTGTTTGTCTTACTCAACTTCTCAGCAGCATTTGACACAGTTGATCGATTTGCCCTCCTCCTTGAAACAATGTCTTCACATGCCTTCTAGGACATCACTCTCTATTGGTACTCTTCCTACCTTACTGGCTGCTCCTTTGCTGATGTCTTCTCATGTAAGCTCTCCTACCCTAGAACTTAGTCCTGGGCCTCTTCCTGTCTACACTCATTACTTAGATGATGTCATTCACCCTCAGGGCTTTAATTACGATGAAAATGCTGACAAGTCCCAAAGTCATGTCTTTAACTTGACTTCTTCCCTCACTCCAGATTCCCTTATCCAACTGCCTACTTAACACCCCCACTTGGATATCTAAGAAGTATTTCTAATTTAACAAATGGTGCTTTCCTTCCTTAAATCTGCATCTCCTGAAATCCACCAGCTATTCAGACCAAAAAATTTGATATCATCCCTGACCCCTCTGTTTTATATCCACAATCATTTAAAAGCCACAATCAGCAAATTCTATTGATTTGATCATCAAAATAGATCCAGAGGGGCTGGCCCCATGGCCAAGTGGTTAAGTTTGCGCACTCCGCTGCCGGCGGCCAGTGTTTCGTTGGTTCGAATCCTGGGCGCAGACATGGCACTGCTCATTGAACCACGCTGAGGCAGCATCCCACATGCCACAACTAGAAGGACCCACAACTAAGAATATACAACTATGTACCGGGGGGCTTTGGGGAGAAAAAGGACAGCAATAAAAAAATCTTTAAAAGAAAAAAATAGATCCAGAATCTCAATGCTTCTCAGCATCCCAAACCCTACCATCCTTGACAGATCACCATCATCTCACCTCAAGTACTGCAATACTCTCCTGATGGGTCTCACTGCTTCCTCCATTGCCCTCCTACCTACAGTCAGATTTCAACTTAGTGGCCAGTAATCTTTTTATTCTAAAGGTCAGGTTATGTCAGTCCTCTGCTCAAAACCTCCCAAAAGCTTGTCATATCACTCAAAATCTTAGTTCTGGAGATGGATGGTGGTGATGGTGCACAACAATATGAATGTATTTAGTACCACTGAACTGTACACTTAAAAATAGTTCAGATTAGGGGCTGGCCCCATGGCCGAGTGGTTAAGTTCGCGCGCTCTGTTGCAGGCAGCCCAGTGTTTCGTCGGTTCGAATCCTGGGCGCGGACATGGCACTGCTCATCAGACCACGCTGAGGCAGCGTCCCACATGCCACAACTAGAAGGACCCACAACGAAGAATATACAACTATGTACTGGGGGGCTTTGGGGAGAAAAAGGAAAAAAATAAAATCTTTAAAAAAAAAAAAACAATAGTTCAGATTGTAAATTTTATGCTATGCATTTTACCACAATTTAAAAAAAAAAAAAGAACGAAGAAGAAAAAAGTCCTTACGAGGTCCTACATGATCAGCCTCTGCCTATCACTGCAACCTCATTTCTCTCTCCCCTCACCCACTGCACTCCAGCCACAGTGGCCTTCTTTCTGCTCCTCAACACACCAAACTCCTTCCTATCTTACAGCTCTTTGTATTGATCTTCACATAGGCAGCCATTCCAGTCATTCAAAACTCAGCTTATACTTGATCTCTTCAGAAATGCCTTCCCCAACACACTTTCCACCGCCTAATTTTAATTCTCCACATCACACCCATCACAATCTTGTTTACTGTCAGTCTCTCCCCTCTAAATGTAAACCGCAGGAGAGCAGGGATTTTTGTTTATCATACCCACTAGTGTTTCCCAGGCACCTGCCTGGCACATAGCCAGAATCAAATAAATATTGAGATGAAGGAATAAAGCAAGTACAGACCAGCCTTTCTGGGGTCTAAAGATTTCAATAAATGATACGCACCTCCATGATTCTCAAACTTTATCGTGTTAATAGATTTCCTCTGGACAACCACTTGCAAAAGAATGAAAGTAGACCATTATCTCACACCATACACAAAAATAAACTCAAAATTGATCCAAGACTTGAAGATAAGACCAGAAACCATAAAACTTTTGGAAGAAAATATAGGTGGTACACTCTTTGACATAGAACTTAAAAGGATCTTTTCAAATACCATGTCTTCTCAGACAAGGGAAACAAAAGAAAAAATAAACAAATGGGACTTCATCAGACTAAAGAGCTTCTGCAAGGCAAAAGAAACTAGGATCAAAACAAAAAGACAACCCACCAATTGGGAGAAAATATTTACAAATCACATACCTGACAAGGGATTAATCTCCATAATACATAAGGAACTCACACAACTGAACAACAAAAAAACAAACAGCCCGATCAAAAAATGGGCAGAGGATATGAACATTTTTCCAAAGAAGATATACAGATGACCAATAAACACATGAAAAGATGTTCAACATCACTAATCATCAGGAAATGCAAATCAAAACTACACTAAGATACAACCTTACACCTGTTAAAATGGCTACAATCACTAAGACTAAAAATAACAAATGTTGGAGAGGGTGTGGAGAAAAGAGAACCTTCACACAGTGCTGGTGGGAATGCAAACTGGTTCAGCCATTACGGAAAACAGTATGGAGATTC